CCTCACTGTACCCAAGCAGAAGTAAGAACATGTAACTATGTTTTAACACACCCTCCTAGGCAAAGTGAGGGATAGTCAATACAACAAACGGTCACCAGACCAGTCAGGCAAGAGAACCAAGCAATGCAAAGCATAGGGTGGATCTCAAGATCACCACGCATTCTGAGAACAAGTAAGTGGCCACAAGGCTAGTTCATATGCAGAGTTATAAGAGCAAGGCATTACACAGATCACAACCTAGCAAGAGTAAACAAGCATGTATAAAGATATATACATATAGGTATGTATATCAGTATACAACAAGTGAAAGTTCAAGAGACAAGCGGGAGAGGCAGACCGGGCAGAAGCCCAAGAGCAGTGCAAAAACGCTAATGATCACCAAACCCAAGGGCCTTGGTGAAGACATCAGCAGTGTTGGCCTGAGAGGCCACGTAGGAAAGGCGAAGCTGACCACGCTGCTACAGCTCCCGAGCAAGAAAGTAGTGAAGATCAATGTGCTTCGTTCTCTGCTCCAGCCTCTGCTCGTGACTCAAGGCAAGCGTAGCTTTGATGTCGACGTACAAAACTGGAGAGAAACGAGGCCGCTTCCCCAAGTCGGCCAGCAGGTAGGTCAGCCAGCATAGCTCCTGTGCAGCCATAGCCCCAGGGTTGATCTTGGCCTCACAACTGGAACCAAGCACAGAGGACAAACGAGCAGACCTCCACAATACAGAGCCAGAGCCAACACCGAAGGTGTAAATTTCACGAACGTTGAGTCGCCTGGTCGTCAGCCCAAGAATCATCGGAGTGTCCTGTAAGTACCACTGAACCCTGTCCTCCAAGCCCCCATGCCTAATGTACTGCACAAGTAACGCAGTACCCTCTTCATAGCATCCCAGTGCACCTTTTGGTGTCTACCGGGAGCCACATAGCAAGCGAGGAGGCTGAGAGGGTACGCGAGGCCAAGTTGTGTGCACGTCATCAAGTACATGAGCCAACCCACAAGCTCTGGATACTGACCACTCGGCTCTACGGACTCGTCTGAAGGTGGAGCTGAGAGCGAGTGGCCAGTTGGCAGAGGAGTGGGCTCTGGCAAGGAGTGCTGGAAGCCGAAGCGCTGAAGGACCTGGTGCACCGTGCGTATCTGAGTCAGGGTCATCGTGCGCCGTGCTCTATCTTGGGTGATCTACAAGCCAAGATAGCTCCGTAGCTTACCCAGGTGAGTGCACGTGTGTCTCTCCTACAGCTCCTCCTTCACTAGGGCGAGCGCCTCAGTAACAGCACTAACAAAAACCAAGTCGTCAACGAACACGAGAATGTAGAACGGCGGCAGAGAAGTGTCGGTGCGTAGAAACGACAGGTCAGCAGAGGAAGGAGCAAACCCAAGAGCCGCAAGTGTTTTCCTTAGTGTGTTGTGCCACTCGCGGGGCACCTGGCGGAGACTGTAGACTGGCCGCCGGAGGCTCCACTGGGTACCCGCAGGAAACGACCCAGTGAAGCCAGGTGGGCGGCGCAACCAGATCTTCTCGTGAAGGCTGCCTTGCAAGAAAGCTGTGGAGAAGTCGAGGGAGTGCAACGTGCAGCAACACCCAAAGAGCGGTCATCTTCGAGGTGGGGGAGAAGGTCTGGAAGAAGTCGACCCCCTGTTGTTGACTGAAGGCTCGAGCAATGTAACACGCCTTGAAGGTAGGCGGAGTACCCGGCAGCCGCTTCACTCTGAAATTCCACATGCCATCGACTATGTTCGCCCCAAGAGGAGGAACCTCATCGATGTAGGTGCCTGTGGACTTCCAGGAAGCCATCTCTACGTCCATGGCTGTCTGCCAATAAGAGGAGTACTCACCCGCGATCGTCTCAGCGTAAGAGCGCGGGGTAGGGATGTCAAGTGCATCCTGGTCTCCCTTAGGGCAAAGCATCATGGATACGAAACGAGGAAAAGCATCCGCAAGACACTCAACCTCAAACTCTCTGTCCTCAAGGACGTCACTGCTAAGGGCAGGCTCACCCCCGACGGACGGAGGACAGATAGGCTCAGACTTAGTAACAAGACTCGCGACGTAGTCAAGACGACTCCTAGCAGCAAAGTTGACTAGCTCAGTGACTAGAACAAACGTAGCAATATACTCAAAGTCAAGGTCAGTGAGGACAGTAGCGAGGAGATGAGTGACAGTAGGACTGGCAGCACGAGCCAGGTCGGACTCAGGGTCAGGAAGAGAGGATACCGGAAGAGACGGTAGGGCAACACGCTGTGGAGCAGAGGAAGGACGAAGTGCCTTAACGTGAGTGCCTCAGACAGCATGAGGACGAAGACGGGCGACCCGATGAGCACAAACAGGTGTGAAGGCACGAGACGCAGACTCACGACGCTCGGTCAGGAAGTCAAGCAACTTAGTGTAGGGAAAAGGAGCAGGCAGTTGGGAGCCAGGTGGCAACTGTGAATGGGACGCGCCAGACAGTAGACACAGGAGAGGTGGAGTAAGGCCAGTGGAAGACGGGAGACTAAGAACCTGGCGAAGGGCCAAGTCAGACGGTGGTAGGGACGACTGTTGCTGCGGGTAGAAAAATGGTCGGCGCGGCGTAGTACCCATACCGTCAGCAGCTCCAGCACCTCTAGTATCTTCAGCTCTAGCACCTTTAGTAGCACCTCCAGCACCTCTAGCACCAGTAGTACCACCAGCTTCGGCAGCTCTAATACCTCTAGTACCTCCAGTACCTCTAGCTCCAGCACCTCCGAATGAGTGGTGATCTTGATATCCACCCTGGGGCTCGTGCTTGGAGGACAAGGTTCAGAGGTACTCACAAGACACTCTGACGCTTCTTGGGCCGGCGACCAGGCGACTCAGCGTTCGTCACAGGGTTACACCTTCAGTCTTGGCTTTGGCTCTGTCACGTGGAGGTCTACTTGTTCTTCTTCTATGCTTGGTTCTCGTTGTGAGGCCGAGATCTACGTTGGGGCTATGGCTGCACAGGAGCTACGCTGGCTGACCTACCTGCTGACCGACTTTGGGGAGCAGCCCCGTTCTCCTCGACTTCTGTACGTCGACAACAAGGCCAGAACACAGAACGAAGCACATTGCTCTTCGCTACTTTCTTGCTCGAGAGCTGCAGCAGCGTGGCCAGCTTCGCCTTTCCTACGTGGTCTCTCGGGCCAACACCGCTGATGTCTTCACCAAGGCACTCAGGTCTGGTGATTATCAGTGTTTTTGCACTGCTCTTGGGCTTCCCAGTGTTGCCTCACCTGCTTGTCTCTTGATCTTGCACGTGTTGTACACTGATATCTATATTTATACCTACATGTCTACCCTTGCTAGGTTGTGATCTGTGAACTGCATTGCTATTATAACTCTGCATGTGAACTGGCCTTGTGGTTGCTTGCTTGTGCTCCAAATGAGTGGTGATCTTGATATCCACCATGGGCTTTGCATTGCTTTGTTCTCTTGCCTGATTGGTCTTGTGACCGTTTGTTGTGTTGGCTATCCCTCACTTTCAGGGCCTCAGATTCGTTTTGGCCTAGGCTGAAAAATCAGAGTTGGTACAAAACGTTTTGCTGAAAATCATAGAAATCAGCCATTTTATGCCATTTTACACTACAAATCTATTAAAATTTCATGTTTCATTTCAACAAACCTCTGAATAATCAGCCTCATTTCTAAGAAAGGTCTGAATTCGCAGCCTTTCTTAACCTATATCAGCCTTTTTTCGCTTACTTACCGTATGAGGCCCTGCTCACTTTGCCTAGGGGGGTGTGTCACAACATATTTGTGGTATGTTCTTAGTTCGGCTAGGCAACAGTGAGGTGCTTAGTATAGGGTACAACCCTAGTTCGGGTTTCATACTTGTACCGTATCTCCCTGTTGCTAGTCATTCATCATTCCTGTCTCCCTACTTTAACGTGTGGCATCGCACTCAACCGCTTGTTTTTCTTGAACCATTCCTGCCAGAGACTCCCACCCACGTTTCAGCACACTTCAGTAAAGGACGGCGATGCAGGGCACACAGTGACGAACTGCATCATCTCAATTGTGTGAGGATCACCTATCGTGCCTTCATGAGCCCCGTTAGGGTGACTTGATGTGGTTCTGTGCGCTTCGCGCCAAGAAAGTGATGGAAACGCACCCGTAATGTGGATACGAATCCACCAGTAACAATGAGTTCTGTTTTGCAGATATGCACGTTGTGTAAGTACCTCTTGTATGTTCTTACAGGGGGGAAATGCAATGTGCAATGCTTTTATGCGTACCGTATTCTCCCGGACATAACACCCGCCGAAATTGTACACCCCCCGGGTAGCTTGTGCGGGGTGGGTGTTATGATAGACCTTGTTTCTACTATACCCCCGTTTTTGGCTGATTTTCTATAACACCCCCCTTTTCTTACGGATTTAGGGTTATAGTCGTTAATGAGTACCGCTGCAATACGGAAGAACTTCTCCCTCGATAAAATTTTGCGGTACACTCACGTACAATCTGCCGAGATTTTTCCCCTCCTACTATTTTGCTGTCGCCACGTGCAGGTGAATCTTCCGCTGCAAGTGGCAAGAGAGGTGCCATATGGCATTTTTGTGGGGGTGATGATGTTCGCGGCCGAAACTCACATTCGTGCCTCTAACAGTGATGTTAAAGCCGGTAGCTAAAATAGTGCCCCCCCCCCCCCCCCCTTTTATTTGGGTCCATTTGAAGACACAAGTTTTTTTGGAACGTTTTGAGAGGTTGAAGTGCTATAACTTTTGTTTCTTTCACCCTCAGTCAAGTCTCGCTGTGAACGGGAAACATTTGGAACTTTTCTACAATTCTGATTGGCGGCGACTTAACTTGCATGTGCGAGTTTGGTGCAAGTTTGCAATGCTATATATTCAGACAAGGAGTCATCAAACTTCACATCAGGCAACAACACTGGCAAAATCCAGCGCACACATATGCACGAGATGACAGTGGAACACCATAGAGGTTGTTCGACGAGCTAGCAGAGATGCGGTAAAAGTGTTTCCTTGGACTTGTAGTCAAGGTGATAGAATAGAGATTTCAGAAGAAAAGAACGAACGGAAAAAAAAATGATGAACAAGGCAAGGAGGAACGACGTGATAGGAGGGGAGAGAGGCGAAATGGCGGCATAGGAAGGGGAGAGAGGCGGAACGACGGGACGGGAGGGGAGAGAGCGGGAACGACGGGATGGGAAGGGAACGGGACAGGAAGGGAGAGAGGTAGAACGACGGGATAGGAGGGCAGTGAGGAGGAATGACAGGATGGACAGGGAGAGAGGCGGAACGACAGGATGGGAAGGGGAGACTGACACTAGTCACAAGGGGCACAGCACGAGGGCGATGCAAGGCAATAATAAGGGGCAGGAGGAAAGAGTACAAGGGCGAGGAGACGGGACGAGAATGTGAGAGCGCGAATGGTACGGGAGACGAGGAACGTCAGCGCGATGGCGGGGGAGGGAGGAACGTGAGCACGATGGCGAGGGGAGGGAGGAACGTGAGCGCGATGGCAAGGGGAGGGAGAAACGTGAGCGCGATGGCAAGGGGAGGGAGGAATGTGGGAGCGATGGCCATGGGAGGCGAGAAGGCGAGAGCGACGGGAATGGATGGGAGAAGGCGAGAGCGACGGGAAGAGATGGGAGAGAGCGAGATCGACGGGAAGAAATGGGAGAGAGCGAGAGCGACGGAAAGGGATGGGAGAGAGTGAGAGTGACGGGAAGGGATGGGAGAGAGAGAGAGCGACGAGAAAGGATGGGAGAGAGCTAGAGCGACGGGAAGGGATGGGAGAGAGTGAGAGCGACGGGAGGGGATGGGAGAGAGCGAGATCGACGGGAAGGGATGGGAGAAGGTGAGAGCGATGGGAAGGGATGGGAGAGAGCGAGAGCAGCGGGAAGTGTCAAACCATGATGCTGCTTATGTTGTGTACGCTGTAATGGGGTAGCCTATATGGGGTACAACCCAAATGGGGTTAGTACTTATACCACGTATCTTGTTAGAACTATGCTCTAGGCTGTAGTGGGGCACTCCTTAAGGGTTACAGCCCAATTAGGTTTTGCCATATACAAACCTTGTACTGCTGTGTTTCTAGTCATTCTTCGTTCCTAGATTCTGACATGGTTTCAGAGCAGGTTCCCTAGTGGAAACGATTTTTTTTCTTTTTTTAGGGCCCACCGCGATAAGATGTTTTTTTTCCTGCCCTGCCCGAAGCGCGCCTCGCGCCTGCCTCACCAGCGCCGTCGCGCACCCTGCCCTCCTAGCCCGTAGCGGCCCTGCCCTAACGACCCGTCGCGGCCCTGCCCTTTCGCTGCCCGTCGCGGCCCTGACCTAGCCACCCGCCGTGGCCCTGCCCTGTCGCCGCCCTTCGCAGCCTGCCATAGCCGCCCGTCACGGCCTGGCCTCGCCGCCCGTCGCGGCCCTGCCTTACTGCCGCTCGTCGCGGCCCTACCCTGCTTCCGCCTCATTGCGGCCCTGCCCTATCGCCGCCTCGTCGCGGCCCTGCCCTGCAGCCGCCCAGTCGCGGCCCTACCCTGCTGCCGCCCCGTCGCGGCCCTGCCCCACCTCCGCCTCGTCGCGGCCCTGCCCTGCAGCCGCCCAGTCGCGGCCCTACCCTGCAGCCACTCAACCGCGGCACTGCCCTGCTGCCGCCCCGTCGCGGACCTGTTCTACTGCCGCCCCTTCGCGGCCCTGCCCTGCTGTCGCCCCGTCGCGGCACTGCTCTACTGCCGCCTCGTAGTGGCCCTGCCCAGCTGCTGCCCTGTACCGGCCCTGCCCTACATGCCAGTCCGGCCCTGCCCTGCACCCGCCCCTAGTAAGCGCCCACACTGCCAAGCGCGCCGCTGCGCCTGCCTGCCTAGCCGAGCCGCGCCGCCCTGCCAAACCGCGCCGCCCTGCTAAGCCGCGCCGCCCTCCCCTGCTGCTACTGCCGCCATGGCTAGCCCTACAGTGCTTTCCTTCAATGCTGAGAGCCGTGCAGTCGATTTTGAGGTTTGGGTAGATAACTTGCAGCTCTATCTTCAGTGAGACTTCAAGGACGGAGTCTCGCTGTTCGATCATACGTCCGGAGCTCCTGTTGCTCCTGCTGCTGACGCTGACAGTACGGTACGCTCGCAGTGGACTATTCGTGATGGTTGTTGCTCGCCTTGCTGTTCGTAGTCACCTGCCGTCTGCTGAGCGCGCCCACTTTGGCCAGTACAAGATTGCTAAGTCTCTGTATGATGCTGTTGTCGCACGCTAATCCTCCCCTGCCTCTGCTGCCCTCAGCCGCCTCATGCTACCGTACTTGTTCCCTAACCTAGCCGCGTTTGCCACAGTCGCTGACCTCATCACTCACCTCCGCACTAGTGACACCCGCTACCGCGCTGCGCTTCCCCCCGATTTTTGCGCCAAGAACCCCCTCCACATGTACATCACCCTCTTCTACCTCGTCACCCGCCTCCCTGGCTCTCTCCGCTCAGTCAGGGACCACTTTCTCTCCCTTTGCCCTACCAAGCTCACCGTCGACCTGCTCGAGGAGCGCCTCCTTGCAACTGAGACTAGCATAGTCGCTGTATGAGCTTCTCGCGGCGACCCTCGCGCCCCTTTTTTTGAGGGGTGCTCCCCCGTCCCCCTTCTGCCCTCTGTTGCTTCTGCTGCTGCTGTCAACCTCCTTGGCACCGAGGCGGTCGGGGCTGCGTCTGCTCCTAGTGATAGGTACCGCAGCGGCAAGGGCAAGGGGGGCAAGGGTGGTGGAGGGGACGGCGGGGGCGGCGGTGGTGGCGGTGGAGGAGGTGGAGGGGGTGGGAGTGGAGGTGGGGGTGGAGGCGGGAGTGGGGGCGTCAGTGACGGCGGTGGAGGTGAAGGCGGCGGCAGCGGCAGTGGGGGTGACGGCGGTGGTGGTGCTGGTCGGGGTGGAGCCGTGCAGCGTGGAGGCTTTGGCGGTGGCCAGCGCCAGCAGCAGCCGCGTTCCCGTGAGGCCCCGTTGCCCAAGTAGCTTCGTGAGTGGTACGCTGGGCGTGTGAGGTCTGGGGTTGCTGGTCCTGCGCTTACATTTCCCGCACCGGCGAGCGCCGTGGGGAGACGTGCGGGTTGCCGCACACTACGCAGCGCTATTTTGGTCGCCTGACTAACGCCTGGCGTGCACAGTTTCCTGACGCTACTGAGCTCCCTCGTTGAGCTGATCTGCTTAAGTCTGGTTTTGCTATCTTTGCTGCCATGTATGCTGTGACTATTAGTGTTGAGGGTGACTGTTACCTGTTTATGTTGCCAGACCCAGGTATAGAGTCTGCTGCTCTAGGTGCTAGTGAGTCTGCTTCTCCAGGTACTGGTGAGCCTGCTGCTCCAGGTGCTGGTGAGTCTGCTCTTTCAGGTACTGCACCTGCTGAGGCCTTGCAAACTTTCACTCTTGACTCAGGAGCTTCCCGCTCTTTCTTTCGCGACTGCACCACACTCACGCCGCTCATTCGGCCGGTTGCTGTCTCCCTTGCAGACCACTCTAGGGGCCCAGTCCTTGCAGACTCCTCTACGCTTGTACCGTGTCCGGCGGTCCCGTCTTGCTCACTGTCGAGTCTTCACCTCCCCTTATTCTCTACGAATTTGGTGAGAAGAGGTGACCTCCAGGACGTGTGGGTTGACCAGTTCACTCCTGTGGGTGATTCACTGTATGTGTACTCAGACAGGCCACCACCTTGCCACATTTACCCGTCAGCCTAGGTCGAGCCTGTACATCCTGAATACTGTGTCCCCTTCAGTTACTACGTCTGGTCTGGTAGCAGCGTCTGGTCAGGTGTTTGCTGCTGTGTCTAGGTCAGGTCCGGACTCTGCCCCCTGCTCGTGTCGCCTGACTCTTCTATGGCACCACCGCCTTGGTCACCCCTCCCTGCCTCGTCTTTGAGGTACGGCCTCTCGTGTCCTTTTCACTGGTCTTTCCCGGTCTCTCCCTCCCCTCCCCCAATGGCCTGCCCCTACCTGCGTTCCTTGCGTCGAGGGACGGCAGCGCGCCGCCCTCACTCCTCCGAGTTCCCTCCGACGGAGGCTCCGCTGCAGACTCTCCACATGGACGTGTGGGGCCCAGCCCGCGTCCATGGATAGGGTCACGAGCGTTACTTTCTGCTGGTCGTTGACGACTACTCGCATTACACCACAGTCTTCCCCTTGAGCCGCAAGGGTAAGGTGACTGAGGTGCTGATCGACTGGATCCGCGCTGCCCGTCGCTAGCTCAACGAGAGTTTCGGCTCGGACCGTCATGTTCTGCGTCTGCACACTGACAAAGGTGGAGAGTTTTCCTCCGACCTTCTGCAGGCCTTCTGTCGTGCGGAGGGCATCCGCCAGACGTTCACGCTTCCGGCCTCTCCGCAGCAGAATGGGATTGCTGAGCGCTGCATTGGCATCGCCCTGGACGTCGCTCGTACGTCCATTATCCACGCGGCTGCTCCCCATTTTCTGTGGCCGTTCGCGGTTCAGTACGCTGCGCATCAGCTCAACCTCCAGCCCCGTGTCTCCGTTCCGCACACCACACCTACTCTGCGGTGGACGGGGAAGGCTGGCGATGTGTCTGTGTTCCGTGTCTGGGGATCTCGAGCTTTTGTCCGCGACTTGTCTGCGGGCAAGCTGTCCTCCTGTGCTGTTCTGCGTCTTCCTTGGCTTCCCCCCTAACGTGCCTGGCTAGCAGTTTTCAACCCCACCTTGCACCGTATTCTGTCCTCTTAGGACGTCACATTTGACGAGTTGGTTCCCTTTTACCGTCTCTTCCCCTACTGCACTGCCCCTCTCCCCCCACCGCCGCTCTTCCTAGCACCAGGTCCTCCTCTGGTAGACCCCCTCCTCCCTTAGGGTCCTGCCCCCTCAGGTGTGTCCCAGGTAGACCCTGTCGAGCCTATCGAGGTAGCAATCGACTCTGGTACTGTTAGGGGTGCTGAGCCTGCGGGTGCTGGGCCTGGGGGTACTGAGCCTGCAGGTGCGGGGCCTGGGGGTGCTGAGCCTGAGCATGCGGAGCCTGGGGGCACGGAGCCTGGGGGTGCTGAGCTTGAGAGTGTGGAGCCTGGGGGTGCTGCGCCTGGGGTTTCTGAGTTTGATGGTGCAGAGCCTGGGGTTGCTGAGCCTGAGAGTGTGGAGCCTGAGCGTGCTGAGCCTGGAGGTACTTTGTCCTTTGGAGGTCATACGGGTGTCTTGTCTCGTCGGGAGCCGCTCTCTCCACCGCAGCTGCGCGAGTGGTTTGCTCGGTGCTGGAGCCGTGCTGCTGGAGCTGGAGGTCTTGCTGCTAGTGGAGCTGCTGGAGGTACTGGAGCCGTTGGTCCTGGAGGTGCTCGTACTGGAGGCACTAGAGCTGCTAGGGCTGGTGGTGCTGCAGGAGTTGGAGCTGGAGGCGCTGGAGCTGTTCCTACTAGAGGTGCTGCTGGTGCTGGAGCTAGTGGTGCTGCAGGAGTTGGAGCTAGAGGCGCTGGAGCTGTTCCTGCTGGAGGTACTAATAGTGATGGAGCTAGTGGTGCTGCAGGAGTTGGAGCTAGAGGCGCTGGAGCTGTTCCTGTTGGTGAAACTGCTGGTGCTGGAGCTAGTGGTGCTGCAGAAGTTGGAGCTGGAGACGCTGGAGCTGTTCCTACTGGTGGTGCTGCTGGTGCTGGAGCTAGTGGTGCTGCAGGTGGTGGAGCTGGAGACTCTGAAGCTGGGGGTCCTAGTGTTGTCTCTGCTGGTTCTGGAGGCGCTGCGCGGCCGTGGCCGTACTTCGTACCACTCCTTCAGTAGGTTCTTGGTCTCCCGCCTTCTACTGGTCCTACTCCTCCCTTCCTGTGGCCGCCGCCTGACCAGACGCAGTCGGAGTTGCAGCCAGCCTCCCTGCTTCCTGGTCCTTCTCCTTACACTAGACCGACCGGAGGTCTTGGCTGAGCATCGTGAGCCTGTGTCTCGCCCTGCGTCGCCTTTTCGCGCTGCTCGCACTAGTCGTCGTGTTCCGCATCCGTGTCCTCATCCTCTCTCCGGCACGCACCAGATGGCACTCCGTCCTTCCTCTGTTCCGCTGCGTGTCCCTTTGCCGTCTCCTCCTTCGTCCTCCCTTGCTGTCAGTCCGAACCCCGAGTCTGACTCACTTCGTGCTGCCAGCCCTACCGTCACGCGTCTGCTAGCTACTGCTGTCATTGACCCTTCCTTTGAGTCCACTGCTGCGTCTGCCTTAGCTGCTGAGCTTGTCGACTTTGCTGCTCGCTGTCGTCTCGACTACGCCGCTAGTCTTGTTGCTAAGTCTAAGTCTGCCTGTCCTCCGTCCATTGGGGGTGAGTGTGCTCTTGGCACGGACGTCCTTGAGTACAGGCAGGAGGACTTTGAGTGCTTTGCAGCAGCTGTACCTCATCTCGTGTCCATGCTCATTGCACCTGAGGGAGACCCGGATGCACCAGACATCCCGACTCCGCGCTCTTACGCAGAGGCGATTACGGGTCCCTACTCCTCTCAATGGTAATCAGACATGGACGCAGAGATGGCATCGTGGAAGTCCACAGGCACTTACGTGGACGATGTTCCCCCTCCTCGAGCGAACATCAACAGTGGCATGTGGATTTTCACGGTGAAGCGGCCGCCGGGTTCTCCGCCTGTCTTCAAGGCTCGTTACATTGCACAAGGCTTCAGTCAGCGACAAGGAGTTGACTTCTTCCAGACCTTCTCCCCGACCCCAAAGATTACCACTCTTCAGGTTCTACTGCACGTCGCCGCTCAGCGTGACTACGAGCTTCACTCTCTTGACTTCAGCACCTCTTTCCTACAGGGCAGCCAGCACGAGGAGATCTGGCTGCGCCGCCCACCTGGCTTCACTAGGTCGTTTCCTCCTGGTACCCAGTAGAGCCTCCGGCGACTAGTCTACGTGCACAGACCTGGGTGAGCTGTGCAGCTATCTTGGCTTGAAGATCACCCGGGACAGAGCACGCCGCACCATTACCTTTATTCGGTCACACATGGTGCAGCAGGTCCTTCAGCGCTTCGACTTCCATTACTCCTCGCCACAGTCCACTCCTCTGCCTACCGGTCACTCCTTCTCAGCTCTGCTTTAGGATGAGTCCGTAGAGCCGAGTGGCCTTTATCTAGAGCTTGTGCGCTGTCTCATGTACCTGATGACCTGCACTCGACCTGACCTTGCTTACCCTCTTAGCATCCTTGCACACTACGTTGCGCCCGGGAGACACCGACCAGAGCACTGGAAGGCAGCTAAGAGGGTGATGCGCTACTTGTGCAGTACGTTGGGCATGGGGCTCGTGCTTGGAGGACGGGGTCCAGTTGTCCTCACTGGTCATGAAGACGGCTACGCAGCGGTCGTCACAGGGTTACACCTTCAGCCTTCGTTCCGGTTCTGTTTCGTGGCGGTCTACCCGCTCGTCTTTTGTTCTTAGCTCCAACTGTGAGGCTGAGATCTACGCAGGGGCCATGGCTGCACAGGAGTTACGCGGGCTCACCTACATGGTGGTCAGCTCCACTCACCAAGTTCGTAGAGAACGAGGGGAGGTGGAGACGCGACAGTGAGCCAGACGGGACCGTCGGACACGGCAGAACCGTAGAGGAGTGTGCAAGGACTGGGCCCCCAGAGGGGTCCGCCAGGGAGACAGCAACCGGCCGACTGCGTGGCGTGAGTGTGGTGCAGTCGCGAAAGAAAGAGCGGGAAGCACCAGAGTCAAGAGTGAAAGTGTGCAAGGCCTCAGCAGGCGCAGTACTTGAAAGAGCATACTCACTAGCACCTGGAGCAGCAGGCTCACCAGTACCTGGAGGAGCAGACGCACTAGTACCTAGAGCAGCAGCCTCTATACCTGGGTCAGGCGGCACACACAGGTAACAGTTACCCTCAACACTAATTGTCACAACATACATGGCAGCAAGGATAGCATCATAATCAAGATCAAAGATAACAACACTAGACCTAAGCAGATCAGCCCAGCGAGGGAGCTCAGTAGCGTCAGGAAACTGTGCGCGCCAGGCGTCAGTCACGCGACCAAAACAACACTGCGTAGCGTGCGGCAGGCCGCACGTCTCCCCACGTCGATCGCCTGTGCAGAGAACGTAAGCGCCCACGCCCAACGTACCACTCACGAAGCTACTGGGGAGACAGGGCCTCACGGGAACGCGGCTGCTGATGGCTCTGGCCACCGCCAAAGCCTCTACGCTGTACGGCTCCACCTTGACCAGCACCAGCGCCGCCGCCACCCCCACTGCCGCTGCCGCCGCCGCCTCCACCTCCACCGCCGCCACCGACGCCCCCACTCCCGCCACCACCCCCATCTCCACTCCCACCCCCTCCACCTCCTCCACCGCCACCACCGCCGCCCCCGCCGTCCCCTCCTCCACCCTTGCCCCCCTTGCCCTTGCCGCTGCGGCGCCTCCCAGTAGGAGCAGACGCCGACCGCCTCAGTGCCAACGAGGTCGACAGCAGCAGCACAAGCAACCGAGGGCAAAAGGGGGACAGGGGAGCACCCCTCAAATAAAGAGGTGCGAGGGTCGCCGCGAGACGCTCCGACAGTGACTATGCTAGTCTCAACTGCAAGGAGGCGCTCCTCGAGCAGGTCGACGGTGAGCTCAGTGGGGCAAAGGGAGAGAAAGTGGTCCTTGACTGAGCGGAGGGAGTCAGGGAGACGGGTGACTAGGTAGAAGAGGGTGATCTACATGGGGAGGGGGGGGGGGGGTTCTTGGCGCGAAACTCGGAGGGAAGCGCAGCGCTGTAGCGGGTGTGACTAGTGCGGAGGTGAGTGATGAGGTCAGCGACTGTGGCAAACGCCGCTAGGTCAAGGAACAAGTATGGAAGTATGAGGCGGCTGAGGGCAGCAGAGGCAGGGGAGGAGTAGCGTGCGACAACATCATGATACAGAGACTTAGCAGTCTTGTACTAGCCAAAGTGCATGCGCTCAGCAGACGGCAGGTGTTTACGAGCAGTAAGGCGAGCAACAGCGTCACGGTAGTCCACAGTGAGCAAACTGTACTCTCAGCGTCGGCAGGAGGTGCAGCAGAGGCCCCAGACGTGTAATCGAAAAGTGAGACTCCGTCCCTGGTGTCACACTGAAGATAGAGCTGTAAGTCATCTACCCAGACCTCAAAATCCACTGCTCGGCCCTCACCGTCGAAGGTAAGCATAATAGGACTAGCCATGGCGGCAGTAGCAGCAGGGCAGGTCGGTGCTGTTGGAGTAGGCTAGTGTTCGCTCTGCATTTCTTTTTGGCCTTATATTATTTTCCAGCCACTTTTAGACTTAGTTTCAATTCTGGTTCATCTCAGGTTCACTTTGTAGTTTGTCTCTGCATTGAACACGCCCTAGGTTCAGTTGGGGTTTCCCAACCCTATCTTTCAAATGTCTCTCGACTCTTTCTCTAGTTTAACTTTTTTCCCTCGTTACTTCACTCACTAGCCATGGCTGCCGCAAACCTAACATTAATAGGTGCGGCTCGGCAGGACGGCGCGGCTCGGCAGGGCGGTGCGGCTGTTGCTCGCCTTGTCATCTACATTTCTTAGAACTTTCCAGGGCCCTAAGCTTATTCCGCGCTACCCCTTAGCTAGTCGATTTTACTCGTTTCTTTTGCTCGATCTTTTTTTTTCTCCCCAAATCGCGGATCCGCCCTCCGTAGTAGCGCGCGATCTCCCTCAGCACTAGTGCGCAACCTGATGCTCGTCGCGCGCCCTCTCTCCCTCCTCCCTTTCGTCGTGCACGGCCCATACTGCCGTCGTGCACGTCATTCTTCCCGCTTCCACCTCCCCCTCGTCCCTCACCCGCGCGTCCCTTAGCTCCCCTCGTCGCGTGCTACTACTGCGCCGCTGTCGCGTGCCTCCTCCCCCCCCCATGCGCACCTTTCTGCATTCTGCTATTCGCCATCACCATTCCCTTTTACGAAATTTGTCTCTTCACTCCCCTCCTCCTCCTCTCTCTCCCTTCATTCCCTCTACAACCTTCCTCTTTCCTCCGCCTCCTATCTCACCTCAGCTGCGACAGCTGGCTGCTGATTTCGCCTGGTGGTTGTGCCTCTCTCCACTCCTATCCCTTCTATCAAGACCCTTCCCCATACAATCCGCCCCCTCACCCTCCTCCTCCTCTCCTCTCTCCCTACTTTCCCCTCCCCATCTTGCTCTCTCCTCCGTCTCTCTCCTCTCTCCCTCTGCCGCAGCTGGTACCTGACCTTGTCTCGTTGTCGTGCTCCTTCTCACACTTTCCCTCCGCCTCTTATTTCTCCCCTCAGCGGCGCAGCAGCAAACAACTCTGCCCTTATTCCTCCGCCTCTTATTTCTCCCCTCAACGGCGCAGCAGCAGACTACTCCGCCCTTATTCCTCCGCCTCTTATTTCTCCCCTCAGCGGCGCAGCAGCAGACTACTCTGCCCATATTCCTCCGCCTCTTATTTCTCCCCTCAGCGACGCAGCAGCAGAGTGCTCCGCCCATATTCCTCCGCCTCTTATGTCTCCCCTCAGCGGCGCAGCAGCAGACTACTCCGCCCTTGTTCCTCCGCCTCTTATTTCTCCCCTCAGCGGTGTAGCAGCAGACTACTCCACCCATATTCCTCCGCCTCTTATTTCTCCCCTCAGCGGCGCAGCAGCAGACTACTCCGCTAATTCTTCCTCCTCTTATTTCTCCCCCCCAGCTGCTCAGCAGCAGACAACTTCAACATATTCCTCCGCTTGTTAGTTCTCCCCTCAGCTCCTCTGCTTCTGTCTCCTTCCCCTCCTATGGTGCCCATTCTTACGACTCCCTCTCTTCCTCGTCGCTCCTGCCCTCTCCCTCCTGCTGCTGTCCCTCATCCCTTCCCTCTCCTTTCCCTACCCTACGCATCATCCGCTCCCCTCTCTCCCTCTTGGACCGCCTCTCCCTTTTACCGCTGGACCTCTCGTCCTGTCACGTTTCTACAGTCTCACTTGTCACGGTTAGCAGGTAGAAATAGAATTGAAGAAAGGAGGGGTTTCAATAGCAGCAGGTGGGATACATATCGCAAACCCTAACTGGGTTGTACCCGCTATAGAGCACCCCACTACAGGCTAGATAATAACATTCTGACACACCCCCATAGCCAAAGTGGGGTGTAATTAGCACAATGAGCAGGCATAGTAGGAGTTCACAATAATAAACAAAGCTAGAGGTAATCACAGCAAGCAAGTGAGGAGGAGGAGGAACTGTGGAAGGAGAGAAGATGGGAGGCAACGACTGAAGCTGCAGAGGCACGGGCACAGGTTCGGCTGACTCAGTGGCTACCAAAGCAAGGGCGACGGACTACTGGAGTGACTGGCTCCGCGGCTAAGACGAGCGGCAGGAGCAACGGACCCACTGGCGACTGGTGCAGCAGGCTCACTGGCTACCGAAGCAAGGGCGACGGACTACAGGCGCTGCAGGCGACACGACAGCTACCTCCACACAACCTCCTCCAACTGGCCCACACCCTTGACACACACCCCCTGCTGAACCCCTAACTCCACTCCCACGTCACCCCCCTAGCGCCATTCCCCTCGGCTCCCACACCTCCACCCCCCTCAGCAGCAGCTGCAGCAGTGGGAGACGAACAAGGAGGTGGGGAGAGGGAAGGGGAGTACCCACACCTCGCACCCCCATGCTTGCCACCCCACACCCCCCACCACCGCGGAACGCACGGCAGCACGGGAGGAATGGGCAGCACGAGAGGGGGGGGGGGGGGGACGGTACACGAGGGGCCGTGCGTTTCTCCTCAGGGCGCCAAAACGGACGGGCGGGGGGGCGCGCACGGCTCCCCAGGGCGCCGCGACGGACGGGCGGGGGGCGCGCGCAGCTCCCAAGGGCGCCGCGACAAGAAGGGCGGGGGCCGCGCGTGCTCCCCAGGGCGCCCCAACGAGCAGGGCAGGGGCCGCGCGCGGGTCCCGAAGGCCGCGCGACGGGCAGACGGGCCGCGCGCGGCCTGCAGGCCTGTGCACGGCCTGCAGGGCGACGCGACGGGAAGGGCGAGGGGCTGCGCGCGGGTCCCCCACGGTAGGAAACCGCCGCGCGCCTCAGGGCGCACGGCGGGCAGAAACCCTAAAAAAAAATGAGGAAGAAGGCGTCGCACGCCACGGGGGTTGCAACAGACAGAGTAGCAGTGGAAGCAGTTAGGTGGTGGGCCCACCCACAGGATCGACCCAAGGGGGTCGACCTGCTCTGAAACCATGTCACAGTTGGCAGGCAGAAACAGAATTGAAGAAAGGAGGGGTTTCAATAGCAGCAGTTGGGATACATATAGCAAACCCTAACTGGGTTGTACCTGCTATAGAGCACCCCACTACAGGCTAGATAATAACATTCTGACATCACTAGCGTCGCCAGTCCCCTGCCCGGCCATCGCTTTCCGTCGCGACTCCTAGTGTTGACACTTTTCCCTCTGCTCTCAATGTGACCATGCCTTCTTCTGCTAGCATTCTTGGTGCTTCTCCTCTCATGGACCCTCGCTTTGCCATGCCTCTTCTTCCTTCTGCTCCTAGGGTTGTCTCTCCATATTCCTCCTCCACGGTTGCTGCTCTCTCTCTCCCTCGCACCTTGGACTTTGTCCTCGACAGTGGTGCTACTGACTCTGTTTTTCGTGATGTTGGTGTTCTTCATTCCTTTCCCTGCCCTCTCTTTATTCATGGAGTTGGGAAGACCATGACCCTGACATGCACCGGCACTTCCTCTCTTCCCCCTCTGGCGCAGTCACTGGCCTCTATGTTCCCTCCTGTCGTCATAACCTTCTCTCCCTCTCCGCCCTCCAATGCCTTGGTATACGAGCGAGTTTTCCCGCAGGTGAACTTTACTGTGATCATCATTACCAAGACCGCCATCTCGTTCGTTTCACCCTTTCCCCTACCTCTCGTCTCTATACCCTCTGTGTTTCTCTCCCCTCGTCTGCGCATCACACTTCCCCCACTTCCGCTCCACCCATTTCCTCTTGCGACTATCACTCTCTCACCTAACCTACCCTTCTTCTCCATCATCGTCTCGGCCACCCACACTTCCCTCTCCTTCGTAGCATGGTCCATTCGAAGCTACTTCACGATCTTCCCTTGGGTGGGTTGTTATCGCACTCTTTAGCTACTTCATCAGCCCACGTGTCTCCTTTTCTTCATCATCGCACAATGCTGCCTATGGGGTCATGAAAGGCTACTACAAAGGTCACGGTGCCAAACAATGGTGTGCTGGTTGACAAGCCGCTAGATCTTGCAAATGAGACAGAAGGGAAGACGGATGAAGAATTTGTCAAGACAGCTCCTACCAACATCAACAACAACAACAACAACAACAACAACAACAACAACAAAAACGCTGGCTCCTCTGGTCTCTCGATTGAAAGCAAGCTCACCATTACAACGGGGACTAAGGATGAGAAGGATGATCTTTCGAACAACTCTAATGACAAATTGGGCATCGAATTCAACTCTGTGAGCTGGATCACACCTCTATCCTTCTCATTCCTTTTATACTCTCCGAGTAACTCACCTCAGTTATCTCCACTATGCGCATGCTCATGAAGCAGAGTTTGGTCTTGTTTGATGGCGTGGCTAACTCATCAAAGTTTCAGATCCTTCAACTGGCTTACGTCTAGAAAACCCGATACTGCAGACTCCATATCTCAATCCTATTAGAGGGCGATGCTCTGAATATATGGCAAAGGGAGGTGGATTACCAAAGGGTAAACGACTAAGTCATCAGGCTTTGTTAGTCCTAAAACGTACTAAAGTAGCTACTAACGACCTTTAGGTGCACTAGAACTCTCTCCTCGAGGTCACCTCCGAGGGTCCTTGGGTGCTTGACTGAGGTCAGCCCCTATCCAAGGGTTCAAATATGTAGAGAGAGAGTCGTAACAACAGCTAAAGTGTAGTAGCAATCATCCCTACCTTGGTGTTGTCAAGAGAATAAACTATGGGAGCGAACTTGCAGCAGGCTCGGGAGAAATCCTTTTGTAAGGAATTTTCTCAACATTCCTTAGCGCGCCCTGCAATATCGCGTACAGCAGCAGCCGTTGTTCGCACCTTAGCCCCTAGGAGCCGCTGTCCTCACGTTCTCTCGTAAACGCGTGCAGCCACGACAGCGCCTAGACTAAGCCAAGCCGACGCCCTTCGTAATGGCCGAGCACATTGATGTCACCACTCTCACGCAGGAGCGTTTGAACGAACTGCTGCAGCAACTTCTCGAAAGCTCTGAGGAAATAGCGGCGCTGACGGCAGAACGCACGTCTCTGCAAAATGACGTCGCACGAGCACAGCAAGCACAATATCAAGCACCTGGCACTCCGATACAGCCCGCACCACTGACATCGCAACATAAAAGCGTGGGGTAGCCCGCGAGCGCGGCCAGTGATGGCGTCGTCCGCCACGACGGAGACGACAACCACGGCACGACACACCCCGAAGCGACGAATGCGGCCAGAAGTCAGCCTCGCCTCACAATTTCTGTGCCGGCTGGCGAATCAGCACTACCGTCGCCGATGCCGCTGAAGCCGTAGCGTCCGCCATGTTTTGACCCGAGTCAACGGGGTGGTCCTACTGTTCAGGCGTGGTTGTTCACATTGAATGTCTTCTTCGACACCAACTACCTCTCGTGGGATACAGAGAAAAATTGCTACGCCGTGTCGCTGTTGCGAGAACCCGCCATGGACTGGTGGCGTGTCATCGTCACGAAGCCGGTGGACTACGCGACTCTACCGAAACGGGAAGGACAAACTGGACCCTGGGCGCCGTCTTATTTCGTGGAGGTGCCCCAGTATCGCACGTTGGACGCGTGGTGCGTGTTATAGTCACAATAGGCTCCAATGTGCCTAAAACGAAAGATAGAGTGCACAGCCGGATTTCTGCACAGCGGCTTCAAACGTTCATAGCGTTCTGGTCACAGCTTCAAATGACCTGATTGAACTTGGATCTGGAGCGTCTGAACATCGCCTACAATAGACAATTTAGATCGCACAATTTCATCAAGTATTGACGACACAGTGTCGGTTTGAACGAACGGCACTATGGCAGCCACTATAGTCTTGGAACACAAAATAGGAAGAGATATGAAGAGTTACGAGTTGGGAATGACCCCCAGCTCCTACAAACCGCAAGAGCCGAGGTACAGTGATGTGGAACAGTGCCACACTGTCCCCAACCACGAAGGGTCTCGAAACTACCCTTCACTAGGGCCTACACAAAGTGAAATGTTACACTACACAAAGCAATGTAACTATCTTCAATATCTTGAGGACGTGGACGTGGACGTGGACGTGGACGTGGACATGGACGTGGACGTGGACGTGGACATGGACGTGGACATGGACGTGGACATGGACGTGGACGTGAACATGGACGTGGACATGGACGTGGACGTGGACGTGGACGTGGACATGGACGTGGACATGGACGTGGACATGGACGTGGATGTGGACATGGACGTGGACGTGGACGTGGACGTGGACGTGGACCCTACAAACCCCAAGAGCCGAGGTACAGTGATGTGGAACAGTGCCACACTGTCCCCAACCACGAAGGGTCTCGAAACTACCCTTCACTAGGGCCTACACCAAGTGAAATGTTACACTACACAAAGTAATGTAACTACAATATCTTGAGGTGCACCCTTTTGGCGAGCTTCAAAATCACTTGAGGCTTGACACCAAGGCTCGGGCTCTTCATCACAAACTCATCCTTGAGTTCTTGATGGGTCTTCTACACAAACCTGCG